CAGCCTGCAGGGCAGATTGAGGGCAAGGGCTGTCTGGGCCCGGCCCCCACCACTCAGGGCTGATGTGGCTCGAGGCCTTTGACCCTCACCCAGGCTATCTCTGCCCTTGGGTGCGGCTCCTGTGGCTGCCAACATGGAAGGGGCGACATGCACATCCATATCCCCTACTGCCATGGTCCTGGCAGGTTCCCTGGGGGTGGCCAATTGTGGAGGCTCATGAGGCCTGGTGGCTGAGAAGCTGGCCAGGCAGGACAGTGGGCCCAGTGCCAGCCCAGCACTCAGAAGACGCAGCCCATTCAGGCTGGGCCTTGTCCAGCCCAGGCAGCACTGTGTGTTCTCCCCAACTCTTTGGGCCTGCTTGGCCATTTGGCCCAGACCTGAAGCCTTTTCCCTGCTTCTGGCTCCCCCATGGTCCCGAGCCCCGGGAGTGCATTTCGCTCTGGGCTGCCTGTTACATTATCTCTGTGGCCTGGGCCTGGAAGTAGGTACCTCACATTGGCAGCTTTGGCTCCTGCTTGCTGTCAGTTCTCAGGAGAGGCGGGTGACAGTGTGGGCCACATGTGTCCCTGCAGAAGGCGTGTCAGCCCTCCAGCTGCGGGAGGCAGGGCAATGGCCCTTGTGTCCCGGAACCAGTCTTCTCTTTCATGAAGCCTTCCCTGACCACCCAGGGATAGACCCTCAGTGTTCCCTTGACAGTGTTCCTTTTCCCCAGCACCAGTTCACACCCTCGCATGAAGCCTGAGCTCCGGGTGGTCAGCCAGGTCTGTGGCATTGGGACCCAGCTCATGGAGGTGTTGGTAGTGCTTGTAAGATGGCGAAAGAGGTTCCTGTCCTTGCAGAGGGAGGTCAAGCACCCAGCTCCAGGCTAGACCCAGGTGCCTTTTTCCATGGGGGCTTAGTCCTGGGAAAGCTGCTTGGAGCCAAGTGTCCAGGGCTTGGAGGACTGCAGGAAGCAGAAGAGGCAGACAGGGCATAAGCCCTGGGAAGCAGTTCTAGGCCCAGCCCCCCTTGCCACACAGCTGGGCACTGCTCCTACAGGGAAAGGGTGGACAACTCCCCCTCTTCAGCCTGGGCCACCAGTAGGGACTGGTTCCTTGGGGCTCAGCTGTGGGCAGGCCTGGGTTTTGGGGCTGTCTCCGTGGTTGGCTATGGGAGCCTTGGGTCCCTCACTGGCTCGGCTCAGCAGGAGGGATGTGAGCAGCTAAGCAGCAGGTTTTGCTGCTCCAGAAGACCCAGGTGTCTGGCCAGTGCCTGGTTGTGGTTGGTTCCCTCCATGTGGGCCCCTCTGGAGTGATGGGGACAGGGAGGGACTTCCCCTTGCCCAGCACTGGTGTTGGCTGAGATGGGTGCCGAGTCTCAGAGCTTGGGATGGAGATCAGACAGGGCTGGGTCTGCAAGCCTGAGGCTCTGCCCTGAGCTCGGGCTGGGACGTGCCCAGAGGTGTTGGGAGGAGCTGGGGTGAGTGCCCTGTGGCCAGGACTAAAGGGGCTGTACCCTCCTGTCTGTCCCTTGCAGATCTTGAGCAATGCCCGGTTATTTTTGGAGAACCTCATCAAGTGAGTGCCTTTGCTAGGTCTTGCTCCTGCCCCACCCATGGACTGCCCAGGGGCCGCCCCCTGGCCCCACCTGCCACCCACTCAGGTCCTCACCACTCCACCCCCAGGTATGGCATCCTGGTGGACCCCATCCAGGTGGTATCTCTGTTCCTGAAGGATCCCTACAGCTGGCCTGCCCCATGCCTGGTTATTGGTGAGCTGGGCTCTGAGGAGGGCCTTGGGTGGGGATGAGGCTGACATGGCCCTGAAACTGCTCCTTGGTGCCTTTATCCACAGTGGCCAATGTCTTTGCTGTGGCTGGATTCCAGATTGAGAAGCGTCTGGCGGCAGTAAGCAGTGCCCTTCACCTCTGTGTGTGCTCCCCCTGCTGTGTGTGTTCTTGGGAGGAGCTGCTCCCCAGGCTTGGCAGCCCTCCCCCAGGCAGTGGGAGCCCTGGTTGACTCTCTGTTCCTCACTCCAGGGTGTCCTGACGGAGCAGGTGGGGCTGCTGCTACATGTGGCCAACCTGGCCACCATTCTGTGCTTCCCAGCGGCTGTGGCCTTGCTGGTTGAGTCCATCACTCCAGGTGTGCTCCTACCCTATCCTGCTCAGCTGTCTTGTGCCAGCTACAGGCACAGCCTCTGGCTGTGGCCCTGTGGAAGCCTGAACCCATCTCTCCCACAGTGGGCTCCCTGCTGGCACTGACAGTGCACACCATCCTCTTCCTCAAGCTCTTTTCCTACCGAGACGTCAACTTGTGGTGCCGCAGGGCCAGGGCCAAGGCCAAGGCTGGTGAGGGGCTGCTGGGGGCTGGGGCTGCCTGCTGGAGGGGCTGGGCAGCAGCAGGACCCCACCACTCCCCTCCCACTCTGCTGTGCTCGTAGCCTCTGCAGGGAAGAAGGCCAGCAGCACCGCTGCCCTGCACACCGTGAGCTACCCAGACAACCTGACCTACTGTGGTGAGGACCTCCGGGGGGCTGAGGTGCAGGGGACAGGCCGGGCCTGTGCTGGTGCCAGCCCCCCATTCCCATTCCAGATCTCTACTACTTCCTCTTCGCCCCCACCTTGTGTTACGAGCTCAACTATCCCCGCTCTCCCCGAATCCGGAAGCGCTTTCTGCTGCGACGGCTCTTTGAGATGGTGAGGTTGGGGGCTGAGGGGGGCCACTGGAGGCTGGGGGTCCTCCCAGCTGGCCAGGGCCTCAGCTGGCTGCTCTCTGGTTCCTCCCCCAGCTCTTTTTCACCCAGCTCCAGGTGGGGCTGATCCAGCAGGTAAGTGGGGTGTGGCAGGGTTGGGTACAGCTGGCGCAACTGGGAGCTGACATGGTGCCCTCCTTTGCAGTGGATGGTCCCCACCATCCAGAACTCCATGAAGCCCTTCAAGGTGAGTGGCTCAAGTGCTCTTGTGGCTGGGGTGGCTGGGGAGAGACTGGGAGAACGGCTGGCCGAAGGGCTTGTTTCTGTAGGACATGGACTACTCACGCATCATCGAGCGCCTCCTGAAGCTGGCGGTGAGTGGGGGCAGGACAGGAGGGGTCGGTGGCATGTAGGGAAAGGTTCTACAACTTGCTGCCCATCCCCACTTCCCCGCCAGGTCCCCAACCACCTTATCTGGCTGGTCTTCTTCTACTGGCTCTTCCACTCCTCCATGAATGCTGTGGCTGAGCTCATGCAGTTTGGAGACCGGGAGTTCTACCGGGATTGGTGGTAAGTGGCCCTGGGGTGCCCCTGGGGCCCTGGGATGGGCCATGGTGTGCTCCCCCCCCCCCCCCCCACCATCCACTCTTGGCCGCAGGAACTCCGAGTCTGTCACCTACTTCTGGCAGAACTGGAACATCCCTGTACACAAGTGGTGCCTCAGGTGGGTAGTGTGTGTCTGCGGGGGGATGTTGAACGTGGCTGTGAACCTGAGCCCCTTTCTCTGCCCCCTCCTCTGCAGGCATTTCTACAAGCCCATGATTCGAAGGGGCAGCAGCAGGTGGATGGCCAAGACAGGAGTATTCCTGGCCTCAGCCTTCTTCCACGAGGTCAGTGCTCTGTGGGACAACTTGCCTCATCCCTGGGCAGGGGTGTGCCCACGGCAGGGATGGCTGACACCCCATTCCCTGATGTCCCGTTCCTCCCCTCCAGTATCTGGTGAGCATCCCTCTGCGAATGTTCCGCCTCTGGGCGTTCACGGGCATGATGGCTCAGGTGAGTGACCCCCAATGTGGCCTCCCCACTCGCTCACTTACCCCTGCCTGAACCCCTGGGCCAACCCCCCCGGGACCTTGGAGCCCCCAGCTCTGTGGTCACTATGACCGACTGACTTGGCCCCACCTTCCCCAGGTCCCACTGGCCTGGCTCGTGGGCCGCTTTTTCCAGGGCAACTATGGCAATGCGGCTGTGTGGGTGACACTCATCATTGGACAGCCAATAGTCGTGCTCATGTACGTCCATGACTACTACGTGCTCAACTACGAGGCCCCAGCAGTAGGGGCCTGAGCTGCACCCAAGCGCCTGGCTTCTCACTGCCACCTCGCACCTGCGGCCAGAGCCAGCCTCTCTTCCTGGGCTTCGAGTGCTAGGGACAGGCCTGGCTGCACAGCACCCTCCTCCTGCCCCAGGGAGGCCTCTCTGCCCCTATGGGGCTCTGTCCTGCACCCCTCAGGGATGGCGACAGCAGGCTGGGGCCAGCTGGGAGCCTTGCCGACCCTGCCCTGGGGTCTGAGTGTCAATAAAGTGCTGTCCAGTCACCTCTTCAGCCTGCCAGGAGCCTGAGGACTGGTGGGAGGTACAGCCAGGGCCACATGGACAGCTACTCCAGGGCCAGGAGGCCTGTTCTCCAAGCTGCCTTGTGTGCCTTTGTGGGCCGGAGGGCTCCAGGACCTGCTGGGAGAGGCAGCTCCACTGCAGCAGGGCAGGCATGGCCGGTAGGGGGAGTGCAAGGCCAGGCAGACGTCCCCGTTCCCTGCACTTCCCCTTAGAAAAGCTCAGCTCAGGCGTCCTGTCCTGGCACTACCTCTGCTGGGTATGGGGGAATCCGCACTCTGGCCCTTGCTGCAGGTTGAGCCTGCTTGGCCAACCTGGATCCACCATGCTCGGCCTCGGCTCGGGAAGAGGTCGCCCTGGGGTTGTTGGAAGTGGGCCCCGGCCAGGATGGCCCAGGGATGGGCAGTCCCTAGGGCCTTTCTGGCATCTGTCTGGTGAGCTGAGAGGCTATGGTGCACCATTGGTGTCCATGGTCATGCACCTTGGGACAGGGCCCCGGTTTGGCAGCCTCTCCTCTTCAGTGGGAACCTGGGCAGCCAGGTGGCCCTCAGCTGGCCTCCATGAGGCTGGGCCACCCCTGGTCCCCAGGCCTTCCCTGCCCTCTGCACTCCTGGCACCAGGCTGGGCAGTGTAAACAGTGTAGCCCTGCAGCCTTTATATCCACGAAGCTGGGCAAATGGAGCCACCCTGGTTGCAGAGAGAGGTCAGGGGTAACCCCAGGGCCCTGCTGCTGCCTTACCTTGCTGGGGAGACTACCTGATTAAAGACCTCAAAACTATACCAGTCCCTGGTGCTCCCAGACCTGCAGCTGTGGCCCAACAGGCAGGTGTTTGAGGCCCTGCGTGGTCCCGGGGCTGCACCCTGGGCCTCATCAGCAACCCGCTGGACTGTGGTGGCCTTGCGGGGAGGGTGGGCTACCTTGGTGGTGTCCTCCCTCTACCAGTAGGGGCTGGTGGGCCCTGTGTCGGAGGCAATAGTGGGTGAGCTCTCGGCTGGGGGACAGGTGTGGGGTCCTGACTCCCCCATGCTGCATACGGTCCTGTGCCTCTCCCCACCCCTTGGCCAATGGAGGCTGAGAACAAGTTGCTGCCAGATAAAGAATGGAACGGAGGCTGAGAAGGCCTTGCCCAGGAGGCAAAGCCCGTTCCACTGCCCACCCCAGGCTGCCTGGGAGGCCACCTTCCCTTCCACCACCAGGCCAAGTGGAAAACCCTAAGGCTATGGGACAGGCTCCCATTGCCCATGCCTACATAGGAGGGTTCAGGCTCTGATAGAAGACAGTGTGCCCACCCTGTGTCCTCATCCCTGAGTGCAGACACCTTGGGAAGGGGGTTCGTTGTAGTCCTTGGGTGCCCAACCCTGGTCCCTCAATAAAGAACTAATAAAGAGCAAATGCTGGTCCTGCAGAGCTGGGTGTGCACAGGGCGCTGCAAACATCTGCCCTCCCCCAGGAGGCTACTGCAGCCCAGCCCTTCTGTGCCCTGGGCCCCTCCTCACTGTACCCCCACCCACCACACCACTCTGGGACAGAGGAACCACATGGGAGGCCACAGCATACAGCCTGTCTGTTTATAGATCTCTGCCTGTCTCGTCCGTCCGTCTGTCCACCTGTGTGTATATATCTGTGTATCTCTATGGAACAGGGAACAGGATAGTTGTGTAAAAATCCAAAATACAATTCTGACTATGAACAACCCGCAGGGTCAGTCCAGGTGTGGCTGTGAAGCCCCAACCAAACCACAGGACACGAGGTTGGGTGAAGGCAGACTGGCAGGCGGACAACCCTCCTGACCAGAGGTGCTGCCCAGGCCCAAGCCCCTCTGTGCATCCTGCTGGGGCTGCGGTGGCCAACCCACCAGTGCACAGGACTGTGAGCCTGCCCCGCCTCCCCAGGACCAGCCCTGCACTGGGGGTGGGGGTGGGCAGGCCATGGCTGGCTCGGCTCCTCCCGGTCACCTAGGAGATAGTGGGGTCCTTGGCTTTGGGAGGCTCTGAGCCCGTCAGCAGGGAGATGGTGGGGTCCTCTGCAAAGCCGTCCCCTTCGGAGAAGTAGGAGCCCTCTCCCAGCTCAAACAGCACGGGCAGGTCGCTGCTCCCGGTGTCCACGGAGCCGGGGTCCAACAGGAACAGGGGCTGCGCCGTGTAGTGCACCAGCTGCTTCCCTGCGGGGGTGGGGGTGTCAAGGCTGTGGGGGTCGAGGCAGAGGGGGGCTGATGGGATTTGGCTCACCTGAATCCGGGCTGCTGTTCTCTGCCTCAGGAGGCCTGGGGGGCTCCTGGGGAGACAGGAGCTCCTGGATCTGTGGGGTGGAGGGGTACAGTGAGCACGCCTGCCTGTACCATTCCCCCTCACCCCCCCACCCACCTACGCACACTGGCCAGGCTGCTGTCAAGGTCAGGCAGGCTCATGTCGGGCACAGTCACTGAGGGGCTGAACAGCTGCAGAGAAGGGAGGGAAGTCAGCACTGCATCTGGGGCAGGGCGGGGCGGGGTGGGCAGGGCGGGGCTTGACTCACATCCAGCAGGGCGCTGGTGTCCACACTGAAGCCGTGGCTGCTCAGCATGGTCTGCAGGTTGTCCAGGTTGGAGTCCATAGCATCCAAGTGGTCGCTGAGCTCATTCCTGGCCCGGGATGAGGGGGTAGGTGAACAAGTGCCCCATGCCCTGCACCGTGATGCCCTCCTGCAGAAGGGCTCCCCTTGGCTGTGTCCCCCAGGTCATGCCCCCGTGTAGGCCTGCACAGGCTGGAAGACGGCCTGGAAGGTGGTGGGGGCTCTGTGCCCTGCACAGGTGTGGTCGGACCCATGTGGGGCATCCTGTCATCATGAGGGCCTGGAGGCCTTGGTGGCAGGAGAGAAGGGGTGTATTCAGCTCCAGCATGAGGGTGGGGGGTTTCAGTTTTCAGGGTCGGCGAGGTTTCCCGTTGCCTATGGAAAACGGCTGAGGCTGTGCTCAGCATGTGGGTGGCTCAGCCCCTGCCCCGATGCTGCTGTGGGGATAAGACCCACAGTCTGGGGGCAGTGACCAAGAAAGCCCAAGGCCATGGGACACACATGAGCCATTGGACAGGCAGCCAGGCTGGGTCCTGGAGGTGCCCCAGAGACCATGCCTGACAGGAAGTGCAGTCAGTACCGCAGCCTGGCACCAGAGGCCGTGCCAGGCCAGGGAAGCCTGTCCTTGTCACAGGCAATGACCACAGGCCTGTGGCCAGGGGAGGAAGGATGACATTGACCCCCGTCATGGAGGGGCCCAGAATGCTACTGCCCAGGCCCAGTGCTCATGCCCGGCCAGGCTGGGTCTGGTCCACGGCTGTGTGGGAGGGCCCAAGCTCTGGCAGGGCCCTCCTCCCTCCCCAGAGGGGTCAGCGCTAACCCTGGCTGGACTCGGCCATGTGGAGAGGAAGAGGGGCAGGGGAAGAGGCGGGCGACCCCAGACATCTGTGGAGTGTGAGCCAAACTGCAAGATACAAAAACAAGAGTCCCCACTGCAGGCAGGGCTGGGCAGGGCCGGGGGGTATCTAGGCTGGGCCCCGTCACTGTCCCCTGCTGCTGGTCTGGGCAGCACGACTGATGCTGGGACCCGTGGCCTGTGGCGAGAGGGTAGTGGCAGCAGGAGGGGTGGCCAAGGGCAGGGCCCAGCAGCCTGTCCTGCCACACCCTTGGCTTCTGTGGCATTCGGAGCTGTGGGGTGATCTGGTTGGCACCTGTCTCCCTCCCCAGCCCCGAGCTCTGAGGTTGGGGCGGCACTCACTTGTCCAGGCAGGCTACGCTGAGGCACTTTTCAGGGGTGGAGGTGGGCGGGGGTGAGGGGGGTCGGCCCTCGGTGTCCGTGTGGCCCCTGGCGTCCGTGAGGGCTGTGGCGGAGGCGGGGGCAGGCTCACTCTCCCGCAGGATGGAGTCAATGAGGGCGGTCGGGGACAAGAGGGTGTCCACGGAAGATGGGTGCCCGGGACTTGCCTCCTCTACCCGGGGGCTCTGAGGCGGGCTTGGGGGCTCCTCCTTGACACGCACCAGGGGGCTGCTGGACAGGGGCCTGGACACCAGGTGGGGCCACATTAGCTGGCGTCTTGGGCGGCCCCACCTCACCCCCAACTCTGCCCTGGGCCCAAGGGGGCTGGCCTCGTTGAGGGAACGGGAGGGCTGGGGTGATGTGGCCCTCACCTCTCGTCTATGCTCCCGCCGGGGGAGGCCACGGGGCTGGCAGGAGCCAGCTCAGTGATGTCGGAGATGATCGGTCCAGAACTGGCCACAGCATCGGGGGCGTAGAGGCTGGAGCTGCTGTACGCCGGCGATGGGGCCTGCAATCAAAGGCAGGAGGCCCATGAAACGTGGGCGGGGCGACCCCCACATCACCGCCCACATGCCTGGACGGGAGCCCTGCCCCCGGCGCTCACCGAGTAGGGGCCCGGGCCATGGACGTGCTCCAGGGAGAACTGCCGGCCATACTTGGGCATGGAATGTGCCGAGCCGCTGTCGTTCAGCATCAGGGGGCTGCGGGGAAGGGGGCAGGTCAGCCGCCTCCCCCAGGCTTGGGGCACCCAGGGCACAGCTGACAGAGGAGAGGGATGACCCTGGGCCCCGTGCCCCGTGTGGCGGAAGCAGGTGTCCCCAGAACCTCACATCTTTCTCTTCACCCCCAGGATCCGGTTTGACTGCACCAGCGATATGAGGAACTGGATGAGCTGTGGGGAGAGAGGACACAGTCACCCTGGCACTTGTGGGGCCCCCGCTGGCCCTCTGGCCCTGCCCCCACCTTGTTGACGACTTTCTGCTGCTGGGCATGCTTCTGCCGAAGGCTGGCCACCTCCCGCCACAGAGCCTCATTCTCACTGCAACAGACCAGGCTGGGTCAGTGGGGCCCAATTCCAGGAGCCCCACAGACCCTCCCGTCTCCCAGGTGGGAGCAGGGCTGAGTGTGACCATGTCTGGCCTGGCCCAGTCCAGTATGAGAACTGCTGTGTGGAGGGGCTAGGGGACAGGCCAGAGCTTGTTGGTCCCACTGCCCCTCCCTGTCGGGGACAGCTGGTGTCAGGTAGGGTGATTGGGGACTGAGTGAGCCAGGTGCACCTGGATCCTGGCATCCATCCAGGACAACATCTGGAGGGATGCCTTAACGGCAGACCCTTGAGCCTCCCCTACGAGGCCTGAGAAGCCAGGTTTGGGGAGGACGGTTCTTCAGGCTGCACCACCAGCTGTCCTGTGTCCTGCAGATGCTCAGGACCCTAGACAGGCCTAGGACTGGCTCAGAGGTGGCCTCACGGGGTACGGAGGAGCTTCCCGAGCACTGTCCCCAGGCAGGAGCGCAGGGCCGTGAGCGGGCTCCTGCTGCTCTGGGAGGCTAGGCCCAGCCAAGCCTGTGAGTCTTCTTGGGGCCGCCCTGAGAGGCGCCTGTGTCCTAGCAGGCCAGGCCCATGTGGCCGGATTCCAGGAATCACAAAGCCAGTGGCTCCTGCTGGAGCCCGTGCGGGAGAGTCTGAGGCCAGGGCCTCCTCCATGACGTGGGGGTCGAGAGCACCTGCTGCTCAGAGCTGAGGATGCCGCACTGGGGTTGGGGTTCCCGCATGCCTGGAGTCCCAAAGTGGCTGTGAGACCTGAGCCGGCCTTCTGAAGTAGCCCTGCCTCAGTTTCTCAGGCAACACTGTGTGTTAGTCCCCTGCCAAGGTTTCCCCAGAGCCGCAGGGTCCTGGAGCAGAGGGACTGGGGGCTGGCTCCGTAGGCCCAGGCACGTGTGGGGCAGAGATGCATCTGCCCCCAGGGTTGAGGCGGGTGGGATGGCGACCGCTGCACCTCAAGATGGAGCCAGGGGGAGGGGACGGGGGAGCAGCAAGGGGTCCAGCCACAGGCCTGCTGTAGAAGCTCCTGCTGACCCTGGCCTGTGGGAGGGGTCTGGTGTACATGGTTTGTGCTCAAAAGTAGGCTGGTGGGTCCTGCCAAGCTTGGCACCTAGCTCGCCTGTGCTGTGGGCCCCAGGCAGAAGCCAACGCCCCAGGAAGCCAGGATGGCCCAGAGGGCACTGGAGATGTACAGAGCAGGGCACCCCCAACCCCCTTCTGCACGTGGAGAATGGCTGGCCCTAGAGCTTTCGACGCAGATACGGGTGGCAGGGCTGGGACAGAGGCCCAGGGTAGATCTGCCTGGAGGGGAGGGTGGGGCCAAGCATCTGGTGCCCCAGACAAGGCTCTGCCCCCACAGCACATGGGGCCTCCTGGTGGGCGCCAGGACCCATTGCAGCCCACAGTGCTGGTGTGGGACCTACTGCTTCATGGCCAGGAGCTTGGAGTCCATGCACTCCTGCTTCCCCTTCATCAGCTGCACGTCCGTCAGCAGCTTAGTGACGCTGTCCTGGCGGATCTTGATGTCCTCGCTCTTCAGGGTGGAAACCTGGATCCCCCGCCCCGCCCCGAGAGGAACGGGAGTCACTGAAGTGGCCTGGGAGCTTGGCAGGCTCAGGCTTGCCCGTGGCCACCGGGTCTCCCAGGAAGGGGGCGGGCTGGGGTGGGAGCTCTCAGGGAGAGGTGGACGGGGAGAGCGTGGGGGGTGAGGGCAGGCGAGCTTACGGGAGGCACTTACACTGGTCACTTTCCTCTTGATGTTCTCAAGGAGCTGCTCCTGGCCACGCAGGAAGCATGGGTGCTGGAACTCCGTGTCGTCTCTCTCTGGCTTGACCAGGCCGCCCTGCTCGATGTGGACCACTTT